GTTTTTGTTTTTCAGAAAAATAACCTAAAAACAAGGAGAAAAAAGACTACTTTTCTTGAGTTTGACCAAATTTGTAATAATTATTTAACTTTTTTATAGCTTTTTAATTAATAATTATATTAAAATCACACTTTCGAAATATTATGAAAAGTTAATAATTAATTAAACCAAACAATAGAAAAAAAGAGGAAAATTAATATGAATTTGAGCAAGCTCCATGTCTGATGCTGTTTACACAAAGAAACAATTGAACATAATCAACAAGCCCTTGAGACAAATACACTTGTAAACCTCATATAACTGACCAATCAAAAAGGTTTATCAACTTCGGTTCGAAGGTTTGTCTGCAATTGTGAGGAGAATAAATCAAAAATATTCTTTATTGTCATGGCCAAATTATTGGATCACCTCAGAGTGATCAAATCAAACACACTAAATAAAGTACATTATATTGAAATATAAATGATAAAATAAATAACCTATAGGTCAGTATTAAATTTTCGGAGAAACATGAACAACAAACTTATATGTTTTCTCGAAAAAATTGTTGATTCGGCAATTTGGAATTACGGTGACACTTTTATTCTCAAAGTTGTGTAATAAATGCGATATTAGAGGTCAGTGGACTGTAGTGCCTTACAATGGGTTCCTTGAAAACACAAGTTCAATACAATTTAACGGGGTTTGGTAAAGGGTTTAAATAACAATATACAATTTTATAGTTTATATAATATATTTAAATAGTTTATTTTAACGGTCATAAATGTGAATCAAACCACTATTTTGTTTTATTAACAAATAAGTATTGAAAAAATATTATTTATTTCATAATAATTTTAGTTTATTTATTCAATTCGTCCATAATTGTTGAGTGAACATTTTCAATCCGATAAAAAACAAAATGTTGTTAATTAAATTAACTATTCATCGAAAGTTTCTTTTTTAATTAAGAAATACGGAAACAAAAGACATGAATTGGTCTTCTTCGTGTTTTAAAACATTCTCCAAAGGAAGTCCTGATATAAATTTGTAAAGAATGAAAAGAATCCTGTACCCACACTCCCATGTTTGTTGTTGTGGGATTGTATAAAAAGGTATTTGGTCAAGTTTACCAAAAATAGTTTGAAGTAGATACCAACAATTATCATCAACTGGAGGCCGAGGAAGGGGATCATTTTTGTAATAAGCAAGGGAATCAAGATAAAGAAAACACCAGTCATACTCGTTCTTTTTGTTGAAAATCAAACAACTCCAGTGATTTCCAGAGACGAACATTGGAATCACGACCAATCTTTTTGTTATTAAAGGTGGAATTCGGTTTCTTTGAATACATAACTCGAGTTCAGTAGTATATAGACACTGGACACCAGCTTTAGAAAGATCAAATAAGTGGTATTGAATATAACAATCGATGCTGTCTCCGTCGAGCCACTTGTCTCTTTCACAATCGATCGTCTTTCCAAAATTTAATTGGTTACCAATATCAATTTCACAGTTTGTAGTGATGTGAATGATGTCAGATGTTGTTGGGTTTTTCGATTGTTTAACGCTTTTGTTCTCTATTTCTTTATCTTCACACTTCTCTTCTTTCTTCTTTGGTGTTTTGAAAGGAAGTTCAGCAAGGAGTTCATTAGAATTAATTTCGGGGACATTGTCTTCAGTTCTCAGTTTTACTTTCCTTAATTTCTTCTTTCTTTGCGCCTCTTCATTTCTTTTGAGTTTCTCTTTTTCAACTTTTTTTCGGGTTCTTTCTTCTTTCTTTTCTCTTTCTTTGTCTTCTTTGATTTTTTTTCTTTTCAAGCTTTTTCAGTTCAAGTTCTTCTCTCTTTTCGATTTGTTGTCTTTTGAAAATTTCAACCATTTTTTATGGCCTTCATCTACCTTTACATTGCGACGTCCTTTTTCCAACTCTCTTACAGGGAATGATAACAATACACGAACAATGTCGGGCCTTATTGACAATTCTCTTGCCAGTAAAGGATTTGCCCGACAGTAGTACCAACCATTAGAACTACGAATGACTTCAATACCAACTTGTCGAAATGAGTTCATTGTTGCTAGAATAGTCGCAGTTCTTTCAAAGCTCATTAAGATGTTGACTATTGATTTTAACATTTTGCTTAATTGATATTCATCTTTGAGAATTTGTGAGAATGACTTACTTTTGTACCCTGTTCCTCTTTTCATCTCTTCTTGAAATGTGTATAACTGTTTCATGGTTTTTGAATAACCAAGATAGAAATCATGTACTGAGACACCATCTTCCTCCAACCTCCGCTTTTGATCGGCAATTTGTTGGTTCAACATCTGGACCATTTCTGTTGCACCAATTTGCCCCACATCTTCTTTCTCTTGGCTTTCCAATTGAAAGACGTTGTCAACTTCAAACTCCAATACTGACTTTGTTATCTTTTCTCTCTTTTGTTGACTGAAAATTCCAACATCAAGCATCTGCAAAAAGTTGGTTGTATTTGGGACAAAAAAGAGAACTTTGATGTTTTCATCGTCAAGATTTTTTAAAATATCTTTGTTGTTATGAGAACTCCAATTGTCGAGGAAAAGCAAGACCTTACCTTCATATTTTAATGTGTTTCTCAATCTTCGCACTTCAGGTATAAAAACTTTGTCAATCCATTCTTGAAACAACACACTGGAAAGAGTGCTCTTTTTCCCAAACATGAAATGCGTGTTTTCTTCGTTATATCCAGAATTATTCAAGTACTTCTCGATGGAATGGTTTGGGATGATGAGTGTCTGCTTCAGACGCGTACCAATTGCGTTGATCAAAGCGATGTGTGTTATTTTCTTGGAAGATTTGTCGGTTGCACATCGAACACATTTGAGATCCACTTTCTCGGGTATGAACACTTTGATGTTTTTAGAGTCGATAAAATCTTGGTGCCCACTTTCGTCCATGTTAAACACAAATGACGCCGGGACACCTTCAAGCTCTTTATCAATCTTGTCATAATAAAGAAAAATATCTTCTGGTGGCACTCCCAACCTCGCCTCCTCAACTATTCTTGCTTTGACGCATTTGAGGCCGATTGATTGCATTAAATAATATATCCCTGGGCGTGTGTAAAACTTGTTAAAACACCTTTCAATGTATTCTGATACCCACCTCGAAGTGACGACTCTTCCAAATTCCAACCGTGTTCGTATCGCGGTTTTCAATTGTGATAATTGTTGTTTGTTTAATTTTGATTGACCTCCTTGAGTTTTTTTTAAGTTGTAAATAGACTTCTCTCCCCGGAGTTTCAGTCTTGATATCTCACTTGGTGAGATGTTGTAAACGTTTCCCAAAACAGTGTAGTCGATAATATGTGCTCTCCCGCCATTGTCTTTGTTGAATTCTGCCACTTTTGTTGTTATGAAATGAACCTGTAATTGCCTGGACTCCGACGCAAGACCAAATTCTTCAGTTGCAAGTATTTTATAGAAGAAATGTCTGGCTTTTACTCTTACATCCTCGTCGTATTTGGTTTCCAAATATAATCGAGAAATGAATTGTTTTGGAGTAAGAACAGATTCATCAAGGTTCTCAGACAAATAATTTTGATTGACCACCAATTGATGACGTTCTTTCTCAGTAAGGAACTTCTCGTCTTCTTCACAAAACAAGAAGGAACTTTTATAGGCAGTCTTTTCTTCACTTGTTGTGCCGTCGATAACTGTCGGTGATGCTTTGATATAATCATCCAGTGGAATATTCTCAAGAATGTACTCCTGCCTACATTCAAAATTAACTCCGAAAAAAAGATGAGGGGCTGTTTCGGAAGAAAACACGTGAATTTTTGGCTCAGTTTTTTTCATTTCTTCTATTATTTTAGATCGAACATTTTTAAGTTGAAAATGGTTGATTTTGGTTTTTTTAAAAATATCAATTCAAATCATTCCACATTTCTTTTGTCATTTTTAAAATTTGTGAAAAAAGCTGTTTATGGTGTAAAAATGCTATTATTATCTACTAAACCCTTGTTTTTACATTTCACTTTCATTTTTACAGGTCCACTTTCACTCCTGTACTTAATGTTTATTTATTTATTTGAAAACGAATGTATTTTTGGTTAAATGTCTTTATTTTGTTGGTAATATCCCATTTACTTACAAATTAATTATGTAATAACTCAACTATTAACCGTAATATAAATAGACTTTAACAGCCTTCTTCTAAACACTTCGAAAAAATGCTCAGGCAAAATGAAAATGATGTTTTTTTTTCTTTTTGTTTAAATAAAAAAATAAAATCAAATAACATTTAGAAAACATTTTACCATTATTCACCAAAAATTATCAAAAGCGGTTTTTTCCACCTTTTTACAGAGTTTTGAAAAACAGTTTACAAATAATAATTCAAATTTTAAACAACACACTCACTTTGTGGTGCTGTTGCACAAGTACTGACATTGGAAGTATACAAAAAGCATAAAAATGGACTTTAAAGTGCTACGGATTCGCGTCTGCATTGTGCTTGTCGTTGAACATTTCGACTGACCCTCTGGTGTGCGATCTGATAGACACGATTATATCAAAAGAAGACATTGTTCCTCGATTGTCGTATGACTCAGTGCTTGGCATTAGACCATTTCTGGATGAGGTCAAACAAATCCACGAACAGACCAAATTGATTAATTTGATGTCAAAAGAAACGACGGAAAGATTTGAAGCCGCTTTTAAAGGATTCTATCAATCGACAAGGAACATTGGCGATAATGTTCTGGTGCCAGCTGGGCATGTGTACCACATATTGAAAACAAAAGAAGATGGTGAAAGAGCGTACAGAATGTTTGAAAGACAACAAGGTCTTTGGGTGGTTGTTTATTCGGGTGCTCAGTCTCAGCGACCACTTCCCTTATAATTATTATCATGTGATTGAAAAGTTGATGGCTACGGGAGGTAATTGATGTATACTATTTTATTAATATTCAGTTAGTATTATAATAGTTAATTTATTAAATATGAATAATAAAGAGAAACCCAAGTAAAAAATCAAATGCTTATTTCTTAGCTGGAGCAGCCTTGGCACCGGCCTTACCACCCTTGGCAGCAGCCTTGGTGGCTTCACCGTGTTCTTGCAAGAACTTAGTGGCATCGTCTGATGGAGCGAAAACGGCCTTGACAACACCGACTGCGACGGTTTGTTTCATATCTCTGACGGCGAATCTTCCGAGTGGTGGGTACTCAGTGAAAGTCTCAACACAGAGTGGCTTGGTTGGGAGGATGTCGATGATGGCGGAGTCTCCGTTCTTGACAAATTCTGGGACACCTTCTTCAGCCTTACCAGTTCTTCTGTCGATCTTGGCTTCCAAGTGGAAGAATTTGCAAGCAATGTGGGAAGTGTGGCAATCGAGGACTGGGGTGTATCCCTTTCTGATTTGACCTGGGTGGTTCATGATGATGACTTGAGCCTTGAAGTACTCAGTCTTTGAGGCTGGCTTGTTCTTGGAATCAGAAGCGACGTTTCCTCTCTTGATATCCTTGACAGTCAAGTTCTTGACGTTGAATCCGACGTTGTCACCCGGAATAGCTTGGGTAAGAGCAACGTGGTGCATTTCGACTGACTTGCATTCAGAGGTGACACCGGTTGGGGCGAAGGTGAGGAACATACCTGGTTTGAGGACACCAGTCTCAACTCTTCCGACTGGGACTGTTCCGATACCAGAGATCTTGTAGACGTCTTGGAGTGGGATTCTGAGTGGCTTCTCAACTGGTCTGACTGGCTCGTTGACGTTGTCGAGTGCTCCCAACAAAGTTGGGCCCTTGTACCATGACATGTTGGTTGATTGGTCGATCATGTTGTCACCCTGGAAACCAGAGATTGGGACGAATGGGATCTTGTCTGGGTTGAAACCAGTCTTCTTCAAGAAAGTGGAGATTTCCTTCTTGATTTCTTCGAATCTAGCTTGGCTGTACTTGGCAGTGTCCATCTTGTTGACGGCAACAATCATTTGTTTGATACCAAGGGTGTATGACAAAAGAATGTGTTCTCTGGTTTGTCCGTTCTTTGAGATACCGGCTTCGAATTCACCAGTTCCAGCAGCAACGACCAAAATAGCGACATCAGCCTGAGAGGTACCAGTGATCATGTTCTTGATGAAATCTCTATGGCCCGGAGCATCAATGATGGTGAAGTAGTACTTTGGTGATTCGAATTTCCACAAGGAAATATCAATGGTGATACCTCTTTCTCTCTCAGCCTTGAGGTTATCCAAGACCCACGCATACTTGAATGAGCCCTTGCCCATTTCAGCAGATTCCTTCTCGAATTTCTCCATAACTCTCTTATCAATACCTCCGCACTTGTAGATCAAGTGACCGGTGGTGGTGCTTTTACCAGAATCGACGTGTCCAATGACGACAATATTAATGTGAACCTTTTCCTTTGGCATTTCCTGTGTGTGACTCTATTCAGTTCGGCCCACTTATATACTGTCTGCTCAACCCTTGTTGGAAATACTCACTTACATCATTCTATTCTTACTTGTTCTTACTACTATTCTTTTACTATACTATATACCATTTCATTATTAAAGATGTTTAGGGTTGTGTCTCTGTTTCACAACACCTCTTCATTACCACATCACCATCTTTGGCATTTTTATTTGTTATATTCTATCATATGTACCAAAAGAATCGGGACAATAACACTTTCGCACTGTTTGAAAAGAACTCTACATTTCTTTATTCATATTCATTTTTGTTATTAATTTTGTTATACATCCTTCAATATTTTTTTATTATTCTCTTGTTGATAAACAAAAATCATATTTTAGTATCATTATTAGTTTATTATTATTAATTAAACATATAAATTAGATTTTTGTTTGTAAAAAAATACCTTTTTTTTTATTTTCAAAAAAACAAATAAAAATTATAAAATTATAAAATTAAAACACAAAATTACAAAAATTATGTTTTTTGAAATAAACATTTAGTTGTTTATAACCGTTTTTTCATCAATTAAAAATTTCTTTATCTCAACCAGTGTTGATTATACAAATTGATTTGTTTTATTGAGTTAGAGTTTAAATTTGTGTCAAAACGTACTTAATTTAAAAACAGACAATTACTTTTGTTCATACTTTGACATTAGTTTCATAGTTTCATGATGAAAACAACCTTTTTAGTTGTTTATTAACAAATGAAAATGTGTTTATTTTATTTGTTTAAAATTAAAAAAAAACACAATTACAACTAAAAAATAATTGTTAAATTATCTCCAAATTTTTTAATCCTTACAAAAGAAATCAACCCATATATACGGGTTGTTTAATTTCAAAACAGATGGTTTTGGTTTTCAATTATGTAAAGTGTTATGAAATATAATAATATTTTGTTAAACAATTAAATATTTAAACAGAACAAATAATTACATTTCAATGAAAAGTTAATTAAAAGTTAACATAAGAAACTAAAAGATAACTGATTCAAATAATTTGTCTTATAATTAATGAATGAAATAAATGTAAAAAACAAATGTTTTTGATATGTTTCTAACATTAAAGTAAATGGAGTAGTATTCAACAAAAAGTTGTGAATTGAAATGTATTTAATCAATAAAAAATATCGAAACCTTGTATACTTGTAATTTTGTATCCATTTTAATTATAAAAAATAAAAAAGATAACGAACAAATTTGTTCATTGTTATATTTTTACCAAAAGACAAATTAATTTTTAGAAGCACGAATATAATAGTTTTATTGAAAAGTTTAATTTGTAAAAATGTCCCTTTTGAAAACAAAAATATCATATGTCAACTTAAATTTTGACAATAAAATTTGTATATAAAACATCTTTAATTTATCAATAAGCAACTTATGATTATCTTATTGTTACTTTCATGTATCACTTTTTCTATGGGTGATGAACCATGTTATACAATTGTAAAAGAGAAACTATGTGTGAAGGATGGAACAACTAAGTGCTCGGGTGATGTTACAATATCTATAAGTGATGTTAATGTAATTTGTGAAAATGGGTTCAAAAGACAATACTGAAATTACAAGTGTAAGCATAAACATTACTAATATTGAAGGGAAAGAAGAATATACTTTAAGGGCTTCTTCTTTCGAAGGAGCCACTAATTTGGAAACTGTTACATTATCAGGTAATTACATAAAATTGGGGTTTAATACCTTCAAAGGATGTTAGTCGTTATCAACGGTGAATGGCGTTGATAAGATTATTGGTTTTAGTGCTTCGTCTTTTGAAAACACTATAATATCAGACATTTCATTTTTTCCAAATATAAAAAAATTGGAAAATATGCTTTTCGAGCAACTAGAATGATAAATGTTGTGTTGCCAAATAACCCACTTGAAGAGTTTGGAGAAGGTGCTTTTAGTATATCGCCCAGAATAAAATCGGTTGTTCTTGGTGGCACAACTAAACTCCCCAAAGACACATTTAAAAATTGTGCAGCAATTGATGCAGTGAATGGACTTGATCGGATTATTTCATTTGGTGAAAGTTGTTTTAAGGGGACTTCAATCACTAATTTCATTTTTAATGACAATGTTGAAATGATCGGATCACGAGCTTTTGCATTAACAAAGATAAGCAATATGAAACTTCCAGAGAGTCCGGTTACAGAACTTGGGAATGCAATTTTTGAAAAATGTACTTCTTTGTTCCACATAGATTTCGGAGGTAGTACAATTATTCCACAAAACACGTTCTCAGGGTGTGAACAACTTTCACTTTTGACGGGGACTGAAAAAGTTACAAGTGTCGAGGAAAATGCATTTAAAAACACTCCGAAACTTGAATCAATCAATTTGTACGCACTACTTACATCTTTACAAGACACTCTTCCTTCACAAAAGAATCTGTTTTTCTATGGGAACGAACAACCAAAAACTTTGGCAAAAATAAATCAAGGGCTGAGAATTTTCGTCACAAATAATTACATTAACAGTAAGTTTGGAGAGGTTCAAGTCACGAAACTGAATTGCACATCACTTCAGTTTGTAGACCTTAGTGTTGAACCACCAACTTGCAAAGATTGTGGAGACAAGAAGGCGACTTTGGATGGAGACAACTACATGTGTGACATCGACATGACTCAATGCCTTGCAACACATGAAAAATGTCAAATTTGTATTGGTGAAAAGTGCAAGAAGTGTGAAGAAAAACTTTTAGTAGACACTGTGAAGGATGTGTGTGACCGAGTGTCCAGATGGATACTATGATGGTTCTATAATCTGTGAAAAATGTAAAGCACATTATGACAGGCCTTGTGAAGATGATGAGTGCAGAAAGTGCACTAGTGACATTGAAAATTCTAGTGAAGACAATTCCAACAATGTTGTTGGTATTTTGATGACAAGTTTTGCTTTTGCATTTTTCATGTTTTAACAATTTTGGTTGTTATTATGTTTGTGAATAATTAATTAATTTTTTAATAAATAAATAATACATTTTTAATTAAACAAGAGTCTTTTTTTAAGTGAATGATTCTATTTTAATAAGTAAAAGGTTATATTTTAATAATAAATATATAATACTTTATAATATTACAAAAATAGAAATAAAACTTTAGTTGATTTATTAATAACAAACTACAAATTTAAAACAACAACTCATTCACATCTATTCTGAAGAAGACTCCTTCTTTTCAATCAGTGGCGACTCGGATCTTTGTTCGTGTTGCTCTGCAAATGGACTTTTCGAGACTGTGGCGTTCAAATGGAAAGTTCCATTTGGAGTCTCCTGTTTTGCATCTTCTCCATTCTTGTCATCATCATCATCATCTCCTTCTTCCTTATGTTCAGTGTTCTTTAATGTCTCTGCAATTGAAGTTTCTCCTTTAGCGAGTCTTGTGAGCTCTTCAGGACACCCTGATTGCTGCACCAAGTTATTAAAAATAGTCGTTTTGTCGTTGATCAAATTAATTGGCGTGTCCATCTCCATCAAGTGGCCATCATCGAACACCATAGCTTTATTAGAGTCCATAATAGTATGGAGTCTATGTGCTATTGTCAACACCGTACACTTACAGAAATTCTTTCTGACCATTTCTTGTATCATAATATCAGTCTGGATATCAATTGATGCTGTTGCTTCATCCATAATCAATATCTTTGCACCTCGCAATAACGCTCTTGCCATACATATCATCTGTCTCTCTCCCAATGAGAAATTCTCTCCATTCTCAGTCACTTTGTAGCTCAAATCCTTCTCCACATTCACCATCTGTAATACCTTCTTCATTTCATCATCACTTTTCACATGGAACGGGTCTAAATTTTCTCGTATGTCACCGGAGAACATCGTAGCTTCTTGTGGTAATATACACATTCGACTTCTTAATATCTTAAGTGGCACAGTGGTGGTATCTATCCCATCAACTTTAATTAATCCACCAGCAGGTTCTTCAATTCTAAAGATCCCAGCCATCATGGTGGACTTCCCTGACCCAGTTCGACCAACTATCCCGATCTTTTCGTTGTCATTAATAACAGCAGAGACTCCTTTTAAGACTAAGGGAAGACCTTCTCGGTATCTAAATTGGTAATTCTCCAACTCTATTTTACCTTGCGTTGGCCAGTTGTCTGGTGGTGTCGAGTAATTCGCCTTCTTCTCTTTTGTCTCCTCGACTGGAATACCTTTCAGACTGAGAAGTCTCTCAACGGCTTGCATGGTAATATCGACCTCCAAGATGTTCTGTGAAAATCGCGAGATGAACCCACCAAGTGTCGCAACGTTCATCAAAGCTACTCCGGCGACTCCAGACTCGATTTGGTTCTTCGTCTTTAAGATGACAATAACCAAAACAGTTATTATAGAAACGATAATACCTAACCAATCCAATCTCTGGGAATACCAACCTAACGTGTGAGTAAATTTATGTAAGATTATATCAATTCAAAAGTAAACAAACTTTTAGCCATTTGTAGAGTATAATATGAGAGTGTATTGTTCTTCATCTTAAGTATTATTGAGTGTAAGAATGAATCTTGTCCCTTATATGTTCGTACTGTGGCAAGACCAAGTAACGTCTGGTCGAAATGGATGAACATTGGAGACCGTGTTATGCCTTCGAGTCTTTGCATTTCAATGGAAGACCTTACAAAGTACTTGTGGAATGCCAAGAAGACAATTAATACTACGACAACGACTATAATAAGATAATACGAGCACGTGCAGATAACTACAAACACCGCAATAATATCACATGTTTGTCCGAAGAAGATTTCATATTGAATTGGAAGATTAAAGTCGATGAATCTGAGATCTCTCGAGAAGTGATTTAAAAGTCGTCCTAATGGCGTCACGTCGAAGAAGGACAAGACCGTCCCAAACAAATTGTTGACCATCTTGGTATGCAGTCCATTCGACGCTCTCAACCCAAAGAATGAAATAGCTACCATAGACAGAAAAGTCACTATAATAGCAGCTCCTATTGAAATGGCATTTGCATAAAAGTAGAACTCATCGCCTTGGGGGTGATTGTCATCAATAGCATTCGTCCACTTCGTAAGGAACCAATTGTAACATACTCGACACCCACATCGTAACACAAAGAAAAACAATGTAAAGAAGAACAAGAAGAAGTTCCCCGAATTGAAGTAACTCAAATACGTTCGTAAAGACACTCCCCCGACTTCTCGCTTCTCTTCAGAGACATCTGCAGCTACAACATCTTGTGGGACAGTTTCAGTCTCTTCTTTCTTTGCAGATTCCTTCTTTTTGGAGACTGTTTTGACGACTTGTGCCGCCGCTAAATCACTCTTGCGAAGCTCGTCGATCGTCCCATTGAACGCAATTTTCTTGTCTTCGATGACGATGATTCGATCAGCTTTATCAATGAAGTACGTCTGATTCGTCACTATTATACGCGTTGTATTGGCTAAATGCTTTTCCATTGCATTCTCGAAGATGTAACTGCCCACTTGGAAGTCGACGGCACTCAATGGATCATCAAAGATGACAATATCCTTTGCGTTATACAAAGCTCTTGCAATTGAAATTCGTTGTCGTTGTCCTCCCGACAAGTTAGCTCCTCTCTCCGCGACTTCATATAAATCGCCCCCTCGCAAGATCTGTAAGTCACGATTTAAACACGAACAGGTGCACGCTTTGTTGTATCGAGTTCGATCAAACTTGTCTAAGAAGATGATGTTCTCGCGGACGGTGGTGTTCATTAACCAAGCAGTCTGACTTGCATATGTGATATCTCCAGATATCTTAGTTGTCCCTTTCTTCTGTTCTAACTCGCCTAAAATGGACATCAAAAAGGAAGACTTCCCAGATCCAACACTCCCTAACACACAAACTAACTCGCCTTTTTTGATTTTCAAATTTTCAGTCGAAAAGGCGACATCATTGTTTGGAAAATGGAATTCGGCGCTCTCCATGTCAATGGCAAATTCCGTTTGTCCAGTTTTAGTATTATCTTGTGGGTCCAATTCCGGTGTTAAGAAGTATGTTTGAAGTCTGTTGATAGAAACTTTGAAGGTCAAAGCGGCTGCAACAAAGTAGCCGAAGTTCATGAAAGGAAGTCGAATACAGTTGAAGTAGCAGATTGTAGCGAACACAGTCCCCACTTCTAATTTGTCTTTCCTCAATATAAAGACTAAATATAATATAAAGGCCATTAAAGGGGTCAATTCCAGCATTAAAGTAATGACAGTAGACCGCCCACACATTGTCCCGAACATACTATACATCTCTTTATTTCGCAATTGAGTCAGTCGATGCTTCAAAGGGTCTTCCCAAGCATTGTACTTAATAAATTTGATGTTCCGCAATATTTCAGAGAAGAAGGAAAGTCGTCTGTCCGAACACATTTGACTCTTTCTGAAGAAATGACTGATGATCCGACTGACAAATATATTAATAGCAACACAGACGAGACAAAGAGCGATTGGAATAAGAGCCCAGTATATCACTAACACTAATAAGATGATACAGACTATAAAGAAGAGTATAGGCGCCGTCGCTCCTGTTATCACTTGAGGCAATTGCTCCACAAACAACATCGAATCATTCGACATCAAATTGACTAATTTCCCTGTTTCTTCGATAGACGCGGAATTCAACTTTAAGGACTTTGCATAGATCATCGAGATAAGTCCATTTCGGAGCCGTAATGATAACACAAAGGTCCATTTAATGGACAATTGAAAGCAAAATGAAGTAAAGACTTGCATGATGGCTATTCCTATTAAATAACAGTATCCGACGTACTCCTCAGGGTCTTCTTGTGATACCCAACTCACCAAAAATTGGATCAATATTGGAATGACTAAAGTTGTGATCTGCGAAAAGAGAAGACACCCATAACACAGAAGGAGATGTTTCCACTCAACTCGAAAGAGCGTGCGCAATAAAGATGGACTCTTCGGGTGCTTTTCTAATTCTCGCTCCCACCCTTTTGACATTCGAATGTATGTCTTGTCGATGTCTAATGTCGAAGGGATCTGTCCGATCTCTTTGACATTCAACGACCCCTTGCGACCTTTACGAATGTATTTGGGAGCTCGTTGCATCAAAGCTATTTCACAACAGTTGGGATGCTTCTTATATATCGGCTCGGGTATATCATCTTTGTAAGTATCGTCGACATTGTAAACGTCCATTTCGATGTCCTCAGAACTCTTTGGAGGTGATGGTGTCTGAGTCGTTAAGTCGGTTTGTTGCATTGAATATAGAATTTTAGAGTTGCCTTTTATATCGAATACGCGCTTCCCTCGAAATTCTTTTTCTTTGCGATATGGGAGTTTTATCGAAAAAAATTGAATAAATCTGCTGTTTTCATTGCCCGTCTAATAACATTTCGGTCGGGTTTAGTCTTTTCACTCATTATTTTGTTATTCAAAAAATAACTGGGTCAAGGATTCTCAATTTGCTCTGAAATATCTATAGTTCGGCATTACTATCTTTACCCACAGTACTCTGGGTTAATATACTATAAAATATAATTAATGTTACTATTAATATTGTGATAATAAAACTTGTACAATTGTTTATTCGAAAGAAGTTGTATTATTTCTTTTGGTTAAACAGAAACTAGACCAGTATTCGAAGGATCAGTTCATTTGGATACAAATAATGATTTTTGCCATGAAACACATTTGTTACTATTTAATATGGCTTATTTTATTATATATTATTATATTGTCAAAAGAAGGTTCAAAGAAATGAATGTGGTAAAACTATTTAAATGAAAAATGAAACAAAAAACAGATTGTAGAATTGACAATTTTATTTTTTATCATAAATATAGTAATTATAATTAAATATATAATAACATTTTATTTAATAAAAATAAATCAGTAACAGTTTTTATATGTCCAGTAATTTTGTTCCTTATTGACCAAATTATTTAATAACACTTTATTAGTTATAATTGTTAACTTATTGTAATAATTCGTAACAAAACGTAAAGCAGTAAAAACAAATAAACTATTTATGAAAAAATTCTGTTTATTCAGTAAACTATATTAAATGGTATTATTTATAAAAAATAACAATTAAAAAAAGTGGAAAAAAAACATTTTTTTTCTGGTTAACGATTGAATAAAAAAATAACAAAAATAATGAAAAAATGTTATACAAATCTATGGGATTTTCATTGAGAAGAACTAACTTTGTGCTTTTGACAAAGTTTGACAAAACGAAAGAGAAAAGAGAATGAGAAAATGATTGAAAGATTGACAAAGTGGAATGAATATGCATAAGAGGGACAAATCTATGAATATAAAAAGTAAAATGCGATCAGTGTCGACACTGTCGCCGCACCAACTTAACTCTGCAGACTACACAAAGATGTGGTCCAACATTAAAGAAAATATAACAGACACACTCACGCACAAACAATCGTCAGTCACTGAGATGGAACTCTATCACCTAATTTATACAATATCCATTGCGCCAGGCGAGATGTGGAGAATACTACAAGCCAATATATTGTCATATTTGTCAAAACATTGTTCAAATGTCGCCGAGTCGTTGAGCAGTCGAGAGGTCATGTCTCAAAAATTGGAAATTTATGTCGCCGAATTTGCTAATTACCAGAATGCACTGAAACACACGGAAAAATTCTGTAAATACCTGACTACGTACTATTTACACGAATCGATTTCGGAGTGCGGAAAAAGAATTTGGCTCGATACAGTTTTCACCCAACATTCAAAAGAAATTATGGGAGAAGCTATGGAACTCATCCACAAAATTAGAGACGCAAAAACACCAAATGACACAAGGGGAAAATCGTATGACCAGATAACGTTGGACTCGTTCAGAGAGGTGTTGTTGAGTTCGGGGTATAACGCCCAGGTATCACGAGAGAACTACGAGATGTTTGAAAATGCGTATATAACCGACTTTGAAAATTTGACGAAAACACTTGAAAATATCGACGGCCAGAAGTTCGTTGAGAGCGCGCTCAAGCTTGAAGAAACCGAAGAGAAGAACGTGTGGGTAAATTTGGACAAGTCAACAATTGAAAAGGGAAAGGCAGTGACCAACACACTTTGGGTGAAAAAAATTGGATGTGTTGGGAAATTGTTGTTGGAAGGACTCAACGAAAATGAAACTCTTGTTGAGCTCATTTACAATGGAATGAAGAAATCTGTTGACCAAACAATAATAGAGGATTTAAGAAAGGAATATGCGGGGTGGATTGTGTCGGTTGCGTTCACTGCGATAAAAAATTTTGTGGGAGACCGCACACTGTGGGTTGAAAGGTTAGTAGAAATATTGCACAAAGTGAATCACTCTCTTGATTTGTTACACAACGACTTGTCCTTCATCCAAACAGCAGAGATTACACTAAAAAATATTTTGGTTGCAGCACCGCATAAAAACACGGAGAATAACCCAATGTACATTGCACAGTACATCCATGACTCGTTGCGAGTGTCGTCGAGCCAAGTGCACAAATTGTCTAATCCACCAAAAACCAAATTTACACCACTCGAGGTTATCGACTTGTCTTGTTATTTGCAAGACCACGACATCTTCGATGATTGGTACTTGAAGTTACTTGCCAAGAGACTTTTGTCGCATGAAGTCCAAGACCTGAAAACGGAAGAAAGCATAATAAACAGATTGCGGGAAATCAGTGGTGTATCGTATGCCACAAAGTTAGGAAGGATGTTTTCAGATATAACGATGAGCAGCAAACTGACGCAAGAATTTTCTGCACAGACGAAATCTGAAATACTCGACGTCTCGATTTGCACGGGAGGCACGTGGCCATTAAAGCCTAGCGAGAACATTGACCTTCCAGAGGTCATGAAAAACTTGTCTGGAACTTTCGAGCATTTCTACAAGAAGCGATTTGAGTCCCGTAAGTTGCAATGGGTGTTGAATGTGTCAACTGTTTGTTTGACCTGGGAACATGGCGGCCAGAAAAGGAAAGTGGTTCTTCCTTCTATCGCGGCAGCCATAGTTTTGTTTGTCTCGACTGGTCAGAAGTTCAAGAACGAAGGAGAGGTCTTTACGACTTACCAGTCAATGATAAAAAGTGGTGTTTTAACGCAAGACGGAAAAATAAGTGAACAGTTTGTGAATGGTCATTACCACCGAGTTTCGGTAGCGGAGCGAAAGGGGGATGACAAGATCAAAGAGGACAGAACAGCGTGGGGAGAGGCTGTCTGCGTCAGGCTGATGAAAAGACTTAAAAGGTGCAACGAAAGGGAATTTATTAATCTTGTAATCAAAGAAAAAGCGGCTTTCATTCCAACAGAGGCATTTGTACAAAGCGTCATCGAAAAACTCATTGAAAAGGAGTATATTGAGAGAGAGAAAGGGAAGAGTGGGATTATCAAATACGTCTATGCTTAAATTTATTTGTTTGTGGAATTTGTGGTTGTTAACAAGTTTATTTCTAGTTTCATATGGTTTTAATTTAATTATAATTGGTAGTTTATTCAATTTTAAAAATATAATTACATTCATTAGTTTTCCAAATTAATTTTATATGTTATTAGTGTAATTTAACGATAAATAATTAGATGGTAGAATTATACTTAATAAAATAGTTCATGAATTCGTTTTAGAATTAATTTTGTGGAGATGAGAAAAAAACGAAAAGTGAAAAGATAATAATTACCAGTTGATTAACTTTGGTTTGACTTTGAAAACAAAGAAACAATCTCGTTGAAGTTAATAAAAAATAAAAAAAAGAGCATGAAATAACGAAATATTGCGGGATTAATTATATGATAAAAATCAAAAAAATAATACTATAATAATTGTAAAATAAAGCCATAAATATACTATTATAGTAACTATATAATCACAGATTTAATTTTTTTCCTTGAAATATTTTTTTTGATTGTGATTTAAAAATAACAACAATAGTTAAAAAACTAACAGATATGGTTTATCAAAAATAGGAAACCTAAAAAAATGGAAAGAGAATAATATATAAGGGCAAAAAATTCATAATCACCAAACACTAGCCACATGATGAGCACTAAACAACCTGTTTCTCCATACTGTGTTAATGAAGAGCGCCCTCAACAGAGGATTGTTGTCTATCGTTCCCATGAGATCCAACCCCAATACATGCAACAATCATCCACTAAGCATTTTAAGTCTTTTAATCGTCGAAATAATGCCCAGTCCCACAAAAAGAAGAGATATAATAAAAATGAGCAGGACGTCGTTGTCGCTTCTTGGAACAATTCACCTGAAAATTCTTTTGTTGAAGAAACTTCGTTTTCAAAGGAAATACCATTTCAAGAAATCTCTTTTGGTTCTCTCTATTTTGAAAAAATTTATCACTCGGCTTTTTCTGATCCTGCTGCTTTTTCTTTTTAAAGCATTCCACATCTTTCTTTGTATACAATCACTTACTCTTGTTTCAATTTATCATTATTACAATGTTTACTATTAATAAACTACCAATTTTAATTATTTTAGTTTTTCTTATTTTTGGTAATATAATAATTCAAAGTTATTTTATTTGAATATATATATATATATAATTAAGATAATTAAATTTTTTTAATTTAGTAAATAAAAGTGTTTTTTTAGATCGACTTGACTTTTTATAAGAATAAAAAATGATAAATGATTTGTTATTATTAAACCATATAATAATAATAAATTACTATCGATTTTTTAATATATTTAAATAACAAATTTATTAACGAAACTGAGTAAAAAAAATAATAAATAGTAAATAAATTATTAACTTATAGTTATAATATTTTACTTTAAATAAAATAAAAACTAGAAGTTGGAATAGAATAACACAATTAAATGACAAAAACTCTTCGTGGGTCGAGTGAGACGGACTCGAAGGTGATTGCTGTTGAACTTGACTTAATAGAAGAGATTGAAAGCTTAAAATTTTTGGTGATGTCGATTTGCTTGAAAAACACAAAGACGTCGAGGATGTTTGTTGATTTAAGAAGGCCGGTGTCGACAAAAGCCCAGTTTTCAGAACATTGAATGAGAACGAATTTGTGTCGATTTATCTTCTTGCAAAAGTCTTTGACGAACATGTTTTTGTTGTCAAAAATATCGTAGACTGCGGGCGATGATTCGAAAAGGGTGAGTTGTGTCCGCTTTTCTATTTGTTGAATGAGGGATGGAGGAACTATTAATTGGAGCTTTAATGAGTTGTAATAATGTTGATTGTCTCGTTGCATATCTTCTTTAATCTGCGCTCGCATATCTTTTAAAAAGTCGATGCACTGCATTAGACTTTTGCTTAAAAAGGTTTTTTATTAGTTTTATTATTATTGGTTTTGTTTTGTTTAAAGTATAGTATATCATTATTATAAATAAATAGTAGTTTGTAATTATAGTTATAAATTATATAAATATAATAATTATATATTTACAAGTCTGATGTATTTTAAAGTATGGTTTATTAATTAATTTAATATAATTTATACTAAATAATTGTTTTGCTAAAATAATTGAATTAAAAATGGAGAAATAAAGTATATTTTATATGGTTTGTAAATAGTTCGATAATAATATATATTGTAATGATTTTCTATATTTGTCAATTGCTTGTCTTTTTATACTATTTCATTAAAAAAATAATAAACAATAGTAAATATATTGTAAAAATATAGTAAAAAGAATTTAAAACCCCAGAAAAAAGCAAAAACAATAATATTTAAACAACCAAAAGATCCAAAAAATATGAAGCGAAACTAATAATATAATAATATAAATTATAATTATTATACATTTGTTTATTTAAAATTATTTTTAACGAAAAAAACACTATAAATAAAAAATAAAAAAAATAATTAGAAAATAGTTTTGTTTGTTAAAAAATAATAACATAGAATTACAATTGTTTCATCGACTAATTATTTGAAATAATGAGAAATAAGATAATCGACCCGATTGGCTAGACATTTTGGCTCTTATTTTTTGTGTTCTCTTTCGCAGACATTTTTTGAACAAGAAGTCGTTATAATAGTTTAAATATAGAATAGAAATATACAAAAGTGTCTCACCATGCATTTAATTGAATACCATCTACGTATCACATTCAATGGAGTCTTACAAGAAAGTACCGATCTTTGTTGGCATCAACAGTGTTTCTATATTACATGCGGAGTCTGAGCATTTTGACATAACATGGGAAATAGGAAAGAAAAGTGGGAAAATCAAAGAATTGTTTACACCACTCCGGACTTTCACAAAATTAATGTTTGAAACTTCTTTTAAGAAGTCGTCTAACGGATCAATCAAAGAGAAGGCACTTATTTTAAAATTCAAGTGTAACAAGAACGTAGTCACTTCATGTTCTATTGATATGTCGTTACTGTTTTATACAAAAAACAGACTCTGCAATTACACTAAGAACCTTCTTGGCACAAAAGGGGAGGAAGTTAGAGTTGACTTAATCTACACAACACACAATATAGACAGTTTAATCCATTCATTAGCAACAACTCCAAGAAAAGCGTTGTCTCCACGAACACCAAGGAGTCCACAAAAACCATTACAATTCACTATTACAAAAACAAAAAGCGACGGACTTGAGAAAACACCAATTAAACAACACTCTCGAACATCATCTCGTTCAACAAGATCTTTTGGTTCTCTTACAATGTCAAAGGACATTGACCCATACATTGAGCAAATTGTGAATATCGAGAATTACAGAAACACATTTAAAACTAGACAAACGAACAGAGATATAATGACTTGTGATAATAATGAAGAGAATCAATTTTCTCTGTTGTCCTTGGTTTTACTCTCTATGGTCACTGAAAATGATAACCAAGACGCTTTCAACGAGGCTTTGAATATCTTGTCGAGTCGTGAATATCCAGTAGAGGATTTATATTATATTTTCATCTCAGTGTTTGAATGTGCCGTTTTACTTAAAGGAAAGAACGAAGAAAAAAGAGTTGAAAGTTGGAAGGCGAGTTATGAAATGTGTTGCACCAAAAGCGCGCAAATTGCTGATAAAGTGATCGAGACATTTAAAACATTTTTGAAATTGGACCTTTCTAAAAATGGAATAAAAACACTCAAACAAAAGTTGATAATGACTGTACCAAATACAATTCAAAAAATCGAAGACTTTCTTGTCTATTTTGCAGTCGATTTGAATCTCTTTGAAAAGACTTTGGAGAAAGATAGTTTGTCTATGCAAGACGGAAATGACTTGTTGATGATTATAAGCGACTTCGATAAGACTTTAAGCCAATTGAAACTCTGTACTGAGCTCTCAAAGTTACTCATGATTGATAATAAGAAAATATTAACACAAGAAGATATCAGAATGGCAATATGTCCCCATATCACAGCAGACATAATAGAGAAAGTACTCTTAAAAACAAGAGCAGAGAACACTCTAACTGATGGTAAAATTTCTCAGATTCGCAGAATGGTGGAGAATCAAGTTATCTTAGATCAACAATTCTCAAGACCATTCTTTAAGGTGACTCAGATCAAAAATTTAGTAAAACACGCTTATAGTCCAGTCAAACCTTTTATGTGTTTTGATAAGACACCATTTGCGATCAACCCACTCATAACTTCCTCGTAATGTGTCTTCGTTGTTTTTATTTATTGATTAATTGTATTCTGTTGGTGTCAAATTCTTTTATTAAAACCACTAAACAAGTCAATCCAATAAATTAATATTCACCCAACACCAACTCTTCCAATTTCACTCGGTCGTCTTCCTCACTCTTTGCTTCACTCTGTTCTTCAAATTGCATATCCTCTATTTGTAACATAGAACCCTCACTCCTCAAGTCTTCATCTTTCTGTGGTAATATTTGTGGGAAGTTCTGTAGACTCTCTGCATCAACACTCTTTGGATTCTTAATGAAACTTACACCAAAGTCGATTTGTTCCTGGTCCAACATCGGGACGCGACTCATTTTGAAATGAAGTGGTGACGCCGGTCGTTGATATTTCCTTTCAAATTTGTCTTCGAAGAGATCCGTGAGTCTGTCCTGTAGATTGAGAGTGTTAGTTATTTCCATTCCCACCAATTTTTGCATCATCAATAAAATTTTGCAGTCTCTTTGGAGTTTTTCCACACGACTATTTTTCTTGATTGTCTTTGCGTTTTCATATTTTGGTTTCGATTTTTCTTTTCTGCTTTCTTTGTTCATCTACTTCAGTCTTCTTTTATAAAGTTCTTTTCTCTTTAAATAACTATATTAAATTATATTCTACTATCATATTATATTATAATTTAATATATTATACTATATTATAATTTAAACTAATTGTATAATAAAAAATTAAAGAAGAAAAAACACTGAACTTTGAAAACTAAATTATCTAGTTTCCACTACAAAACTTAGTTTGCACACCCAATTAGAGACGATATTGAATAGTCCCCGCCTTTGTGATGTATCTCACCCACTTAATAGTCTTATAGTCACTCGCAATCTTCAAATATCTAATTTGCAGTCCAGTGGCCGTCAATGCGGGGATGACAAAGTCCATCAAGATTGGAGGTTTATCCCATCTCTGTTGTTGAGTTGTTTGTACCAAGTCGACATCGACAGTAATAGTCTGTTGTGTCATTCCGTTGAATCGAGAGATTCTCCACAAGATAGCTGCATGCTCTGGATGGTATTTAGCACTTCCAGCCGTGCATCTAGTCTTACACAACGCAGCGTTTTTGGGCACTGGAATTTTGACTCTGACGTTCTCTCCATATTGCAATTCCGAGAAGAGAGCTCTGACGTTGATATCGAGTGACAGATGAGTCTTTGAGCTTTCCTTAATATTATGGAGGAGTCTGAATTGTTGTGATATGTTATCTGTAGTTCTATATTTCATCAATTCAAACTCTCCGTCTGGTGGGATGAAGTTGATGCTACGATCTTGATCAAACCGAGTGAGTCTGACGCATTGATGGAAGGTGACATCAGCTAATTGAATAGCTTTTTTCTGTGTTGTATCTCCAAGTAACAGTGCTTTGTCATTCATCCCAAGTGAGCAGTCTGGCATCCCTGAAAGTTGTGTTTTCATTTTAATGACACCGTTGACGTCGTTAGCCAAAATAGTTCCCTTTGCGGAGACCGTCAAGTTGACGCTTTCTATGACGTCCAAAAACAATTGATTCTTTTTATAAGTAATATCAAGACTTCTCCATGGGATCTGCCCAGTCGCTTGAATGGCAATGTTCCCTCGTTGGACAGCTTTTGCCTTCCCAAATGTGATCAACGACTGCAACTCATCTTTTGTACAGAACTGTGGATACCCAAAGTCTAAGATTTCATCTAAAAGCTCGTAGATTAAGACGTACTGACTCTTAATAGTCTCTTCATCGATCTTCGAAAAATAGGCCTCGAAAACTTCAACAATTTTGTGAAGGACTTCAAAGACGACGGCCGCGTTGTTGTTGCTACGGGCTAATGCGACGATGTAGAGGGAGTTCACGCGAATGTGATAGAAGACCGTCGGGCCTACGATTTTGACGGGAAGGACATTTTTCTCGTTGAGAACATACGAACGAAAAGCAGTCGCGACGCCTTTCATCACATCGTCTCGGTAGATTCGGGAGATCAGCAGATCTCCCTTTGCGTTCATGAAGAAGATGGCGCTGATCATGGTCTGAATTTTCAGTACTTTTTGGTGCTATACGAATTTTCGGGAATTTCCAGTTCTTTCTATTAATAGGGTCTCTCTGTATTAAGTAGTGTCGTGTGACCCACTTCGCTACTTCCAATTCACGGGATATTAGCTTGAATTATTTATTGTAATATTAACTATTTATTTGGTGGAGAAAAACCAAAACAAAAGAGGAGCAAAGAGTTTGATACTCTTTTTCGGGAGGTTTGGGAAACTTGAAATCTCGAGAAGGAAGAATTTGTGAAGAAGAATTTCGCATTTGAGTGGGAAATAGTCTTTGGCAAAAGAATGGAGTTCTCGGTCTTTTTTCAAGATCGAAAGAAGAAAAAATGGAGTCTTATATCTTCTCTGAGTCTTTTTACGTTGTAAATGGTTTATGGAGCGAGAAACAAAAGAAAAAGGGATTGACGTGTGTTGATTTCAAGTTCTTATTTCGACTATTCACATCTTAGTCATTTATCCTCTTATTTAAAGTTTTTTTTAATAATAATAATTAAATAAAATAAAACTTATCAAATAAAATAAATTTGACTAAGATAATAAAAGGCATTTAGTAAAACAAAAGTTAATATATTAGTATTTTAAATTATTAAATATAGAAAATGTCTTTGAATCAGTAGTTAATTCCAAATTAAACTTGAAATGTGATGTTATTGTTGTGTAGTGATAATGATTATGTTAATATTGATTAACAAAATTCCATCAAAGACAGACTCAACCAGCAAATACTATTTTCAAGCAAACAAAATTGATGAATGTTTCAATCAAAGTCTCAAAGAAACTTTTAAACCCAATTTGTTGAATGAAGATTGATATCGTTTTATGTAACAAAGGAGTTGTTGGAGAACCAGTCAACGGGTTTATAGAAGCTGTTTTTAAGAGTCCAAAATTCATTAAAAAAGTCTCTGTCATTTTTCAGACACACACAAATTACCCGGACTTCAAAAATGGATACTCTTCCGACCCAAGACAAGACTCTAACGCTTCAGAATGGCAAGAGAAGAATATGAAAGAGGACTTTGGCTTCCAATCATTCACATGTAACTGCTTTAGTGAACATTATAATATCCAAAACGGAAGGTTCACTGAATACCCAGAAGGCATTGCCCGCTTTCCATTTGAAATGGTACTACCACAAAAGTGTTGCACGACTGTTGTAATGGGGAAGTGTTTCTTGAAGTGGGAAATGGTTGCACAAATCGAAGAACTCTCTTGCAAAATTCACAAGTCAGATGTCTTCGAGTTGCCATTATTGTACAAATTGTACACCACAGAAATCGTGAAAACACAGACTTCCGAATGTATTGATAACAAAAGGTTTTCCTTGAAAGTCGAGTTAGAGAAGAATGAGTATACACAAGGCGAAATGGTGAATGGAGTCATTGACTTCTCGAATAAAACGAACACGGTACTCTCTCTCAAAATATCAAACCAGAGTGTAGTTGAGTCGACTAAAATTGATAACTCTGCAATTGACAAACGTGTGTATATAGAGCAGAACTTTGAGGTTTTACTCGGCATCAGCAAAATGAGGTTTTCCTTGCAAGTCTCCCCTCAACAATTGGCCTCTGTAATAGCGGACCCATTATCTCTCCGAAACTTTCTTGTTGTTCGCGTTGATGGACTTAAAAATTTGACATCTGTCGAAAGTGGTGTTGCCGTGCCAATTGTAGTCAGACCAAGTTGTCCATATAACAGAAAGAATATGGAAGAATACGCCAAAGAACTTGGCTATGACATTTCGTTTAAGAAAAAGAGGTTTTACGGCACACATAAAGTGTCGCCCCCAACCATTGATATACAAAATGGGCTTGAAAGTGGTCGAGTTGTCGATACCAATCAAGTGATCTATCTCGATCATTACAGTAGACTTGTATTTGAAGACAAAGACAAGAAAACAGTTATGAAACGAGCGTATCCGACTGAAAATATGAATCTCCCAGTGGGGTGGGCCATGGGATACTTCAGAAATGAAAGGTACTTCTTTAATGTAAAAACTTTAATGTCGACTTGGATTGATCCTCGAGAGAATCCCCTCCCTGAACACGTTGGAGATGAAGTGACTGGGACACTTACGATATGTCCGACACAATGTGAAGGGTTGATTGGGTCCAAAGGCATTGAATTGTGTGTGTACTCTGGGAAAAAGAAAATGAAGGTAGTGTCGAACAAAGGTCTTGACCCCACCTTTAATAAGAACGATGTATTCAAAATCAATTTGGATAAGATGCGAAATAACGTTCTGCTGTATGTCACAGATGGAAAATCGACGATTGGAGTCATCGAATTTGACTTGACACTATTGAAGTACTACACATGTGTCAAGAAGTGGTATTACTTACACTCTCCTGAACATCAAAGGACAGAATATATGGGAAGAATACTGATGGAAGTCACTTACGCGACGTCCACTGACAAACCGGAAATTCGGAATATAGTGGACTACTTCTCTGCATTAAATCTGTTGTTTTACCCATCCTCTAAGAAGTTCATAGATGTTGTCCAAAGCACTAATGAAGAACGAACAAAAGAGAAATTGCCGAAATTGATGGATGTCTACGACCAAAAGTACGTTGTAATCAATCGAGAAGCCTTCATGAATTACTTCATCTTCGACGACTTGAAAGACGAATTTGTCTTCACGAAGACTAAAGAGGACGAAAAGGACAAATTGAAAGTCGAGAACAAACGTAAAGCGTATGTAGAGATCTATGGCAAGATCGTTGCGACTACATACGAAGTTGGAGAAGGAGAAGAGTCATATGACGTCAGCCAAGACGTTGAAAAGCCGAAGAAGAAGTTCTCGTTGTCTCTTTCTGGGTCCCTTTCAAGAAGTCGGTCGACATCGAAGCCAAAGGAGAGCACCCCAAAACGCCTCGAAACATTAACACCGACATTTTCGCCACGAACAAAGAAATATCGCAAAGAGGGAGAAGGCGCTTTTGGCTTATTAAGTTCGTGTGACTTTCCACGAGATATGGGCGAGACTGCCGAAACGAAAAAAGAGAGCGCGTCGTCGTCGGAAATACTCAAACCCGTTTTTGGAAGGAGAAATGCTGGAAAGAAACATTTTGTGGATATCAGTAAGGAAAGTGCAACACAAACAAATAACTTTGGCGCATTACTCGACTAATTTATAGCATTTGTTCGTCTCTTACATGGGTTTACTATATATTATAGTATTTTAATAATAAAAGAAACTAGAACGTAAAGTGAACTGAAAAAAGTGGCATACAATGACGAGCGAAGAAGTCCTCCAATGGACAATTCCTCTGTTGTGTAACAGAAGCTACGACAGTCATATTCCACTTGACTCGTGTGTCTACCAGTTCAGAGAAGACATCGAAGAGGTTGTCTATCAAGAAAAACGGAGAATAGAAGTGTATCAGACGATGAGCGAGTTGACGAAAAGTAATATGGACAACGTCAGTAAATTGTCCGATTTGTTTGTGGACGAAATCATCAAGGAAATCATCACATTCAAAGGCGACGAGTTGAAAACGGGGCTTGGGCTCTTGTGTATATTACTCAAAACACGACAGACGCACGTCAATTTTCTCGAGTTGATCAGGCTATACCTCGTAGAGACAGACCAACAGAATTCGAAGAACATTTTAAGTGTTTTAAACTCCGCGGCACATGTTGGTGGACCGGAGAGGTACTACGCATTCCCCGGATTACTAACATGTTTGTACAGCGATGTTACTGTTGGTAAGAGTGACACTTGGGGTGTCGCTCTATCTTTTTTAAGCCAAGGCGACGGCGTTGTGTTTTCTGTTCGCACCCCGTCGAGCAAAATAGTGCTTCAAGTTGAAAGCGGTCAGTTAACTGTGGTGTGTGGGAATGACGAGAACAACGTCAACAAGAAGAAGGAAAACAGTCGGACGAAGATGAAAGAAAACAAGTGGCATACAATAACACTGTTATGCTCGAAAAGAGGGCATCGAGTCACCGTGGACTACGATAAAGAGAATATGGTGTTCCAAATGAATTACCCTCAAAACGAGAAAGGAGTGTTCTCAATTGGAGGGATACCCGGAGACGCGGAGAGTTACTTTAAAGGGTATGTCACCGATGTCACGCTGTTGCCGAGTGAAACTGTCATCCAATATTTTCCTGAAATTGGGAAGGTAAATGGTGGGGCAACAGCTATCGAAAGTGAGAGAGAAGGAAAAGGTAAAATCGGCTTTGTGTGTTACCAAATCAGCCAGTTCAGTCCAATTCAAGTAGTTGAGAGAGAGACGACGGGAAGCATTATACGACGCACTGGCGGAATTGGAGGAATTGTTTCGATGTTGGACTACAAGCGGAACAAACGGAGTTTTGAAGATAGCAACGCGATACTGGAATTATTGTATGTTGTTTTAACAGTGTTTCCTGTGTTACGGAAAGACGCGATTGAGAGTGAAGACATAACAAAGATCTTCATGGGGCTGATTGAGTTAGCGAAAGAAAGTAAAGTCCCACATTTGGAGGAGAGTGTGAAACCCAAACATCCTGTAGCGCACGAGTTCATTGAATTTGGACTGAAAATGGTATCTACAAACATCTTTACGCCGATCAGGAATTTGGTTCTGAGACACTTATTTAATATCGAATGGTGGGAGAGTGATAAACTGAAACTTGAATTTACTAAGGAATTAACGAAGACAGTCACAGTGGAAGTTATAGACGAACTTCCATTTAAACTGTTTGAGAAAGTGTCCTATCGAAACTTGTTGAGTTGGTATCTTGGGGGAGAGATACCGGAACTTGTCGAGGAGAACGTGCCGAAAGTGCACTACCAATGGAGATGTGGGTATATACAATATGTCTCAACGATTGTTGTGACTGATTTCATAGTGGTACAATACTATGTCACTGACATACTGAAGCTCCTTGATAAGTCAATTAAAGAGCAAAATCATAAGGACACAGGACTTTTGTTATACACCTTTCTGTGCTTTGTGTTGTTCTCGAAATACCAAATTAAAGACTATGTGAAGCTCATGTTACTGAAGAACAAGGCGATGTTGCTCGAGTTGTATATGACACCAAACCCAAGTTTTGTGAAAAACTCAGTGCAACGCATTTTGGCGCTTCTGAAGATCCAAGTCAATTTCGACACGATTGAAACGGCATTGGGAACGACACGGTTGACACCACTACTCTACCAAATCTGCATTGAAACGACTTATAATAACGTGCGAAACACATACTGTGATACAACGAAAAGTGGATATCTCTCTTCCGAGTCATTCATTTCGTCGATGGACAAGAAGAAAGTTGGTGACGACTACATAACACCATTTTTGAAGGCACTGTCGCAAAGCATCACAAAGAACTTTTCGAGAAACAAAGTAGTCTTAGACATTGTTCTGAATGATCTCATCTTGTGTAAAGAAGACCATTGTGTGTGGCAGTGTCTCATTCAAAGCAAAGAATGGCTGTTTGTGTTTGTTGACATTGCAGTTGGTCTTGTCACACAGAAAGAGGCTGAGATGCTGTCGCGCTTTGAAACGATCTTTGCGCGAGTGATTGGAGTGTCATTCACACGAACCAAAGTGACATTAGAAAGTGTTGTGTGTCACATTCTGTGTCGCTTGAAGAACAAACAACACTTTTTTAACATCTTTCGAGGGGTAATGAGAAATTTGTGCTTTGACATTGTACCGAATATCGACGAGAAGAGCCAAGAAGTGATGGTACAACAGATGATATTTCTCTTCAGCGAGTTCTTCTGTTATATGTCGTCCTTTGGGTTTGATGAGCATTTGCCCCATTTCAAAGAAGACTACGAACTGGTGAAGAGGTGCTTAGGGTTTCACTACCCACAGCCGAAAAGTTGCACGTCTGTGGTGTCCCAAATGCAACACATCTTCACTGTGAATTTGATCTTCTGCCAACTCAACGCGATTTGCCTTGTTCAAGACGTAGAACTGCTGAGAAAGACTTTACAATTGATTCCCCCCTATTTGGTACATCGTCCTGGATTTGAGGGGTATGACAGTTGGGTTATTTCTCATTTGTATGATATCACACAGAGTTGTAGTGATGCGAACGTGAGGAGGGATATTGGGAATATGATGTATTTACTTAACCAACAACGACAAGTCCCTAATGTGTTAGACACTAAAGGGATCAAAAGGTTTGGAGACCAGCTCACTGCGTTTTATAAGAAGCAAGAAGATGGTCTTAAAGAGCAAACAGCCGTGTTAAAAGAACAAGTGAATCGAAATAAGGATGTGATCAAAGTAGTATTTAAAGATGTGTATTACCCGAATCTGGGTTGATTATGAACGTATATGATAATTTAAAAGTGTTATGTTTTAGTATGTAATAATTTATAATTTAATAGTTTCACTTTCTACTAATTAATAGTGGTGTTAATTTAATTGTCAACACTTACAATTGACCAAATAATAATCAGAGACCAAATAATAGTAGGATCTTTATTTTTGTTGGTCTCTGAAAAAAAACTAAGAAGTCAAAAATAAATTTCAAAATATTTAACAATGTCGAATTTTTTGAATATTTTATTACTTTCTTTGTGGTAATAATAAAATGTCACACTGGAGAAGTCTTGACTCGAAAGACGCTCACAGTCCTCACTCCCCAAAGGTGTGTTATTTTTTTACAGGAGTTATTAATTGCCACAAAGCGACATTTTGGAACTTGTTGTCTCCTCCAGTCTTCTTCCGTTTGATATGGTTTGGGTTATTGTCACTTTCTAGTTGAAATACTTCTTGAAACCCTCGGTTCCAAACACCGAATCGTGATTTTGAATACTCGTTTACAGAGAAGCTTTAAAGCCTTCCCGGTGTTTGTCGGTTCATTGGGCGGGGATTTTAGTTCGTTATTACTCTCACTGTTGCTCAAGTTGCGCAATTCACAGAGTTTGCGGAGGTCACACAAATATCACATAATACTTTGCCACTGTAATTCTGGCACTTCACCAATTGTCAAGTTTTTTGGAAGAGAAACAGGATGGAATTGGAGTTGATGCTATGGCCGGTTGCGAACATGCATTTCTGATGCGTCTAAATACATGTTTTATTTTTTTCTATTTTATTATAATATATTTACCTTCGATATATGAAAAATGTCCACTTTTGGTAGAATCCTGTTTTAAATCGATATTTTAAACAAAGCAGTTTATCGGAACGTTAGAAAGTTGACGAGTTATTTTTCTAATTTTTTCCAATATTCAAATCCGTTATATTTTTTCTTGAAACCAAATTCAAGAAAAGCAAACAAATTCTATAATAATAATTGTATCATATTAAAATAATAGTAAATGCCCCATTTTGGTCAAATTCTGACAAATTCAAAACGAAACACAATTCACTCTTTATTGAGTTAAATCTATTTTAATATAGTTTCTTAATTAAAGTTTTTAAACTGTTTATTTTACTTTTTATAATTATTTGGTCTTTGAATTTTTTATGGTCAACTGTAACACAAATTCACACGTTCTATCACTTTGTCCTTCCAATAATGATTGAAATTATCTACTAATAATTAAAAAATTATAAATAAACTATACAAGTGAATGAATGTGACTCTTGTTGTTATGTGGTGTTTTGTTGCAGTTCAAAAGACTTTCTGGTGGGAAAGTGAATAGAGTTGATATTTAAAAGAAGAAGAAACTCTGGATAATAAGAAGAGGACATGTTGTGCGATTATTACTATGCTAAATGTGCGAAAGGAACAGCTATAAGAAAGATGTCGGCACTGAGTCGTAAACTTAAGAACGAAAAAGGAGAGTCTGCGATCATCGACTTAACGCTTGGGAACCCTCTTCTGCCCCCACCAGAAGTCTATCAAAAGGCATTAGAAATAGTTTCTCAAAACACTGATTGTATGAGGCATGGATATTCAACTACATTGGGTGATACACCGGCAAGACAAGCTATGGCAGATATCATTTCATCATTTGAAAAGGTACTTTCAAGTGCTGAAAATGTCGTTTTGACACCTGGTTGCACAGCAGCCATCAACGTGTTTCTTAGAAGCGTTTTAAATCCACGCGATGAAGTCATTTTGTTCTCCCCATACTTCTTGGAGTACCCATTTTACATAGATAACTGCCAAGCTACTATGAAAATAGTGCGAACCAAATTTGAGGAAAACTGGCAACCAAATGCAAAAATGTTGGAAGAGAGTTTAACAGAGAAGACGAAGGTGATCATTATCAATTCACCAAATAATCCAACTGGTGTTGTATATACAGAAGAAACGATGGTAAAGATAGTCGAAGTATTAAAGAGGTATAACACAACACATAACCACAAGATTTGGATTTTGAATGACTCAGTCTATAGAAGACTCATTGAAGGTGATACATTCACTTTATTTGACAAGTATCAATATTCTGCTATAGCATATTCACTCTCAAAAGACGTTTCTATTCCAGGAGAACGTGTTGGATGTATTGCAGTCAATCCTTTACTTGACACGTGTCAAGAGTTTGTTGCGGGTATTGCCAATTTTAATGAAATTCTTGGATTCATGCAACCCAATAGATTACACCAATTTGTGCTTCCGATCATGGAGTTGGCTGTGGCGGACTTGAAGCAATATGTCACAAGTCGAGAGATCATATGTGAGTGTTTGGAGGACCTTGGAATCAAATTTGTGAAGCCACATGGAGCTTTTTACTTCTTCCCAAAAATAGAAGAAGGAAATGAAGAGGAGTTTTGCCATCTTTTTGCAATGAATGGCGTTGTGGTTGTGCCAGGAAGTGCGTTTGGAGAGTGTGGATATTTCCGAATGTCCATTTGCCAACCACCTGAAATTGTTAGAGGATGGGTAGAGCAGTTTAAAGAATGTTACAGAAAGACTGTGCATCAACTTAAAGAGAAGACTAGTGCAGAGCACACTATTGTTCATTAAGAAGAGTTTAAATATCAATTTGATGAATAAGTTATTTTAAAGTTGTTTATTACTAAAATACATATAACATAATACGTGCATTGATTTTTTAAATACTTGTCAATTTATATACAAGCAGCCCAAGTCGTAATATTGTTATATCAACAACTTTAATACAGAATTTAGTTTCAATGTATATCTTTATAATAAGACTAATATTCAATGAAATGAGTACAAAGTGGTATTCATTTCATTGCATGTGTTCTCATTTTGTATAATATATTATTAGTTATGGTTGTAAAAAAGTTCATGAATAAAAATGTTGATAGCAATTATTAATAAAATGTATTAATAATGACACGTATAATATTGATTTATGTAGAATTAAAACAAAATAATAATAATAATAATAATATCTAATAATTATAGAAGCATTTGTGGTCTAAGGGCAGAATTCCACCCTTCCAAGGTGGAGATCCGGGTTCGAGTCCCGGCAAATGCACTTTTTGTTTTTATAATTTTTTATTTTTGTGTTATAAATAAATAACAATAAAGCCATTTATTGTTCTATTCAAATATTTACCAGATAAAAATATGGTAACAATATAATAAAAGTCTTATAAATGATAATTCAACTTATAGAAATGAAAAGGGAATGATTATTGTATCAAAACACATAAATTATCTCGCAATAGTTGTTTTTAGTAAATTACGTTTATTTTATTGGTTGTTCTAATAGCTCTTTTTAGCTTCTAAATGGCTTTGCTTTTTTTTCCTTGAAATCCCGATAAACAGTCTTTTTAAGTACAATAATTAACCCAAAAATACCTAACAAAAAAAATGTTTGTAAATTATAGAAATACGTCTTTGATGCTCAAGTTAATTAAACGAAACGAGGGAATGAGTGGATTTAAGATATGATGTTAACACTTTTTTAATTTCCCAAAACCATTCGAGAACAACGCGGATTTGTTCAAATTTTTTTCTCGAAGTTCAGGAGCAGAAAAATTGTTCCTTTAAGACTGAAAAAATAGATGGCACCTTTTGGATGCTGTTGCTCCACACGAGAGAGTTTGTACTTTTTGTTTTTCAATTCAAATGTGTTAAATAACACACTAGAGAAGTATCCGATAGTCAAAGTCCAGTCGACAACACCGTCGCACAAGTTTCCAAAGAACACGGTGAAGACCACAAAATACAACGTCTTCACTTTTCCTTTTAAGTTTTTGTATTATCAATACAAGTTACTTACTAATGTCTACTTCCTTATTAATATGATCATTAGTTGCATACCTTACATCTCAACAGTCACGCCCATCACTGCAATTATTCCAATAGTCGTCGTCTTAGCAGTTTCTGCTGTTCGTGAGATCGTCGAGGACTTAAAACGATATTCCGCTGACAACAAGGCGAATGGGAAGAAATACACGGTCCTCAAAAATGGCGAAGAGTCAGTGGTTTGCTCTAAAAACATATCGGTAGGGTCGGTTTTGAAACTACATAAGGATCAAGTCGTGCCCGCCGATGTCGTGCCGATATTTTCATCATTGCCGGATGGGGTGTGTAAGTTGGACACCGCTGCTTTGGATGGCGAGACGTCGCTCAAGACCATCTTTGTCCCAAAGATGCTTCTCGACATGACTGAAAAAGACGTGACCGACTTTTCGATGGATCTTGAATGCGAGTGGCCGAGAGCCAAATTCAATGACTTCAAAGGTCTATTTTCAAGTGAAACTGTTAAAATAGCTCTTGACGAGAAAAATTTGTTACTTCGCGGATCTGTCTTACGAAAGACGGAGTATGTCTACTGTGTTGTGTGTTACACTGGGAAGTACACCAAGCAAGCTTTGAACTCGACGAAGCCGGTGAATAAAAGTTCGATATTAAATACACGACTCAACCAATTTGTCTTATCGACGGTGTTCTTTCAATTACTGATTTGCTCGATATTGGCAGCACTATCAACGTGGAGGTATACAGTTGTTAATCCAGACACAGGGTTCTGGTATTTGGACTCTTATTTGCCCGAGTTAGGGTATGCTGCTTACGCCGTCAAGAAGTTCTTTGGGTTCTTTAATTTGATATCGTACACGATTCCGATATCAGTTGGAGTGACTATGGAGATATGTAGATATGTGCAAGGTTTTGTGATGGAGATGGACGCCGACTTTAAGATCAAAAAGGTTGATTCTGAAGGTGTAGAGAAGGATGAAGGAATGCGGACGAATAGTTGTGCACTTATAGAAGAGATGGGAGAGGTCCAATATATTTTGAGTGACAAAACCGGGACTTTAACGTTTGTTTTCTACTCTGCCAAGGGAAAGGACTTATAGAATAGAGAGAATAAGATGAGCTTTTCTAAATGTAGTATAGGAGGGGAAGTTATTAGTGATGTAATGAATGGCACGTTGGGACAATTAAGTGAAACCAATAAAATGGTGAGTGACTTTTTAATGTGTCTGGTGTTATGTAACACGTGTAGTAAAGAGAAAGATCAAGTCGATGGGATGAAGTATTCCTCCCTCTCACCTGACGAAGAAGCGTTATGTGAAGCTGCTTATGTCAATGGTGTTATTTTAGAGGAACGAACACAGAAAACAGTGAAGATACAAAACAAAGGAGAGAACGAAGAGTACACAATTGTCATTCAAATTGAGTTTACAAGTGCGAGAAAGATGATGAGTGTGTTAGTTGAGAAGGATGGGGAGTATGTGTTATATTCGAAAGGGGCGGACAGCGCGATATCAACTTTGTTACATCACAACACTAAAGGAACACAAAAAGAGAGTCAAATGACTGATTTAGTTGAATCGGAACCACAACAAATCAGTGTAGTTAACATTGGAAGACTTGACACTGTCGAATTGAGTGAAGAAGAAGAGATGATTAAGAAGACACAACAGCAAGTAGACGCATTTGGGAATGAAGGGTTACGAACCCTCTTTATAGCACGCAGAAAGTTGTCAAAAGAATACGTCGACGATTGGAAAAGGCGACTTGACGCGATCGACCCGCTTGCTGAAAATGTGAAAGAACTTCGGTATCACATGTACAAAGAGTTAGAGTGTGATTTGGAGTTAATTGGAGCGACTGCGATCGAAGATCAATTGCAAGAAGGTGTACCTGAGACGATAGATATATTGAGAAGGGCGGGGTTGAAGATATGGGTACTCACTGGCGATAAAAAGGAGACAGTTTGTTGGTATTACTTCGTTGTACTCATTCATTTAATTGTTAATAATTTAATTATAATTAATTATAATTAATGAAGACTTATATGGAGGCAACCTCAGTGGCGAAGTCCTGCAAATTATTTGATCTACATCAAAACCTCCTTTCCTTCAATTTTGAGAGTGAAGAGGCTTTTCTTGAGTGTGCGAACGCGGCGATGGCGAAGATCAACGAGTTGAAAGACACGAAGGAAATAGCGAAGGAGAAGCACAAGGGGAAACCAAGTCCAACGACGCGGGTATTGGAGAAGGAAATGCAAGAAGATGTGAAGTATGCGAAATCGAACAAATTGGGGATAGTGATTTCAGACACGAATATTGAATATCTTATAAGGAACTATAAAGTAGTCAAACCACTCTTTATACAAGCGGAGTCTGTAGTGTGTTGTCGTGTGAGTCCACGACAAAAGGCGGACATTGCACTGTTAGTGAAGCGGATAACGAACAAATCGATCTTAACGATTGGGGATGGGATGAATGATGTTCCGATGATTACGAAAGGGGATGTTGGTGTTGGGATATTTGGGAAAGAAGGGAACCAAGCTGCTGTGACTGCAGATTTTGCGATCCAAAAGTTCCGGCACTTAACGAAGTTAGTTCTGTTCTATGGCCGGAATGCGCGATATCAAGTCTCTTCATTGATCAAATTCTGCTTTTATAAGAACGCGGCGTTCTTCTTGTTAGATGTGTCGTATGCGTTTATGAGTAACTTCACGTGTCAAATATTGTTTGACGACTGGATCATGACATGCTTCAATATCCTCTTCACGTCACTTCCCCCGGGAGCTATTGCGCTGTTTGACTACGAACTCTCGTGGAACGAAGTCAAACAATTTCCGGAGAGTCATAAAGAAACGTTTAACGACCCGAACTATAAGATCAAATCGTATGTTGAATGGTATTTGTATGGAGTCTTACAATCGATTCTCTTTTTTGTGTTGTTCTACTTTTTGATTGCGGGGTCCGACGTCACGAATTTTGATGGGAAAGTGAACGGATTTCCATTCAGTGTGGTGACAGTCACGACATACAGTTTAACGTCGATCTGGGTCACGATGTTAATCTATACGAAACGATTTAGTATCTTGGTAGTACTGTCATTTGTAGCAAGTATTATCTTATATATCATCATCTATACTTTGGTCATGTTCATCTCAGGGTTATCAGTACGTGGGATATCAGCTTATGGGTGGTATATAGTCTTACAACAACCAAGCTTCTATCTCATTTGTATCATCGCCGTCTCAGTCACTACTTTACCACAAATAGGTGCATTACAATTACATCGAAGAGTCGTCCCTACTAATTCCCAATTAATACAAGAATACACAAAATGGAAATTGGTCGAACATAAAGAACTCCCAGAAATCGAAATGAAATTCTCACAAGCAAGACCTATCAGCGTCATATTAACGAAATCAAAATTGGACGAAGAAGAAAGAAAAATCCAAGAACAAATGGAGGCTGAAAACAAACGACGCAAAAAGAAGGAACACCACAAATGGTCGAAGAAGTCGAGAAATATCAAAATCGACAAGACATCAAAAAACTCAACAAATACTACCGACGCAACGACTTCAAACTCTTTAAACGCATTTGTCCATTCAGTGGGTGAAAACACAACCACAACTGTTAGCGCCGAGACAACAAGCACTGACGCAAAGTGACTTTATTCAATTCAACATTATTTATTATTTATTTACTATAATATTTACTATAATATTTACTAGTAGTTACTAAAAGTTGTATATTTAGTTTATTTTTACTATAACTCAACTATACCAGTAATTACCAATGAACAAGATTAGAGGAACATCTTTCTGAGACGCAGGACAAGTCTGACGTCACGGTTGTTGACCGTTATCCGCTTTGCGTGGAAGGCACAGAGCGAGCTATCCTCGAAGAGTCGTATAATGAAGTCTTCTGCGATCAGTTGTATTGCGATGATTGCCTCTCTGTTGAAACGGATTTCATCTCGAAAGGCGAAGTCGCCACTGTCAAGAACAACGGATTTGACCTAAAAGTCAATGGAAAAGGAAGATTTTTGACTTTTCTCAATCTCACCTCAATTGTCAAAAAATGAGAAAAAAGAGACATGGGAGATTGCAAATGGCGAATGAAGGAAAATAAAAGACACAAAAACAAAACAACAAACAAGTTTCTGGAAAGAGGCTTTTGGGATGTCCGTAAAAACTTCTCGGCGTTGAATCGCAGAAGCCTTTTGAAGCGGCGTTTGAGCAACATTTTGCTTTGGAATCAATATCGATGTTTTGGGGGACAAAGTTGATTGTGACGACCGAGGCTTTTTCTCTGTTTGAAGCTTGGTGTCTGATGACGATTTTTTCATTTCCTTTCGCACTTTCTCTTGCAGTTTTTTAACCGACATTGGGTCTTTTAAGTTTTTATCTTTTTTAAAAAAATACAAGAATCAATTTACTATAAAATTACTATTAATTATAAATTGTTGTTATTTTTTGAATGTACTATATTTTTAGTTTATTATATAATATATTAATATATTTTTAAAAACTATTTCAAAAACAGAAAAAAGTAGGTTTTATAGTTTAATTTATTTATAATCGAATTATTAATCATATAGTAAAACAACCAGAAAAAAAAAAGTTTTAGTATTTTTTGTTATTAATTCTTTATTATACTTTTTTGATAAAATATACTAATAAGAAAATTAAATTAAAAAAAAATTGAATAAGAAAATTGAGATTTTAACAATTGAGGAATATTTATTAATTTAAAATATAGTAAAAATAAATTAATAACATGTAATTATAATTACTAATATAAATTAATACTCAAACCAATAATTATTATAAAAAAAAATGGAAAATCAAAGAAAAAAAAATAATAAAAAAATGATCACAAAAAGCAAAGAGAAAACTAAAAAAAAAGAACTTGAAAAATTTCAAATCCTGAAATAATAGGCAGAAAGAGCGCGAATTAATTGAATAGAAAGATAAAAAGGAGAACCCTGAACTCGAAAATTCAGAGATATGGAATACATTGTACTCACCAGAGCTGGAAAGAAGATCGAGGTTCCCGAGGGTTGTATGTTGAACCTCCTTCATTTTGCGTATGAAGGTAATGAGCCGACAAGTGTTGTTCTCAAATTGAAAGATGAGGATGACACCGACATGAAAGTGACTCTGTGCACCCTCTCAGGGAAGTGCCCACAATATGCGACATCAATTCCAATTTCGGGTGAGACCGTTAAGTTTGAGTTGGTTGGAAAAGACACTGTGTACATCGTTTCAAGCTTCGAGCCCGTTGCACCAGAAGAAGATTTTGAGGACGACGACGATTCAGAAAATGCGTCTTACGATGATTTGGAAGGGAAAGAAGGATTTGACGACTCAGAGGAGGAAGAAGAAGTTAAAAAGGTCGAAGAAAAGCCAAAGAAGGCGGAAAAGAAAGTTGAAAAGGCAAAGGAAGTCAAAGAGACAAAACCAATCCAAAAAACAAAGGAGGAGGAGAAGAAGACAAAGGGCAAACAAGCCGAACCAAAGAAGGAGTTGAAAAAGGAGAACAAACCAGTCAAAGTCGCGGAGAAAAAAGTCGAAGAGAAGGTCGTGAAGAAAGAAGAACCAAAAGCAAAAGAACATAAACATGAGGAAAAGAAACAAGACAAGAAACAAACACAGAAAGATACGAAAAAAGAAGTGAAGAAGGAGGTGAAGAAAAATGAGAATAAACATCATCACGACGACAAAAAAGGAAAGTCGACAAGAAGAC